TTGCTGTGGCCCACATGGGGGTTCTGTGTGGGAGGTTTGGCCCAATTCTATCGTTGGTGGGGATTCAGAATGCTCTGTGATTGTAGGTGAACTATAAATCCCAGCAACTGCAACTCCCAAATGTCAAGATTCTATTTCCCCCAAACTCCACCAGTGTACACATTTCGGCATATGAGTATTCATGTAGAATTTGGTCCAGATCCATCATTGTTTGAGTCCACAGTGCTCTCTGGATGTAGGTGAACTACAACTCCAAATCCAAAGGACACTGCCCACCAAACCCTTCCAGTATTTTCTGTTGGTCATGGGAGAACTGTGTTCCAAGTTTGGTTCAATTCCATCGTTGGTGGGGTTCAGAATGCTCTTTGATTGTAAGTGAACTATAAATCCCAGCAACTATAACTCCCAAATGACAAAATCATTTTTGAGTGAAGGACATACATTGGGTTGTTAGGTGTCTTGTGTCCAAATTTGGTGTCAATTCGTCCAGTGTTTTTTGAGTTCTGTTAATCCCACAAACGAACATTACATTTTTATTTATATAGATTGTTATTATTGAATTCTGTTGTGAGCCGGTCTGAGTCCCTCCTTGCCCTTTACCTTTAGTAATATTAGTAGCCAATGAACACTATAAGGTAAAGGTAAAGGTTTCCCGTTGACATTAAGTCCAGTTGTGTCCGACTCTGGGAGATGGTGTTCATCTCCATTTCTAAGCTGAAGAGCCGGCATTGCCCATAGACACCTCCAAGGTCATGTGGCCAGCATGTCTGCATTTATTTATTATTTATTTCGGTTATTTCTACCCCGCCCTTCTCACCCCGGAGGGGACTCAGGGCAGCTTACAAAGGCACAATTCGATGCCGGCATCAACATAACAGTAGAATGAAAACAATATAGCAGCAATTAAACAATTAACAATCAGTTTCTACATTGCAACAATAAAACCAATAAAACCGATTTCACCTAATTAACGCTCAGCGTTCGCCATCTCATAGTCCAAATTTCAATTCCACTTTGTCAGTCCTGTCAGTCCTAGTCGTCTAATTGTCCTTATCTAGTTGTTAGATTGCCCGAAGGCCTGGTCCCACAACCACGTTTTTAATTTCCTCCTGAAGGAGAGGAGGGATGTTGATGACCTAATTTCCCAGGAGTGAGTTCCACAGGGGCCACCACCGAGAAGGCCGAGAAGGCCCTGCTCCTCGTCCCCACCAACCTCACTTGTGATAGAGGTGGGGTCGAGAGCAGGGCCTCCCCAGAAGATCTCAAACTCCGAGGTGGGACGTAGAGGGAGATACGTTCAGACAGATACGCTGGGCCGGAGCCGTATAGGGTTTTGTAGGTCAAAACCAGCACTTTGAATTGTGCTCGGAACTGAATCGGCAGCCAGTGGAGCTGACACAACAGGGGGGTGGTGTGCTCCCTGTATGACGCTCCGGTGAGCAATCTGGCTGCCGCTCGCTGGACCAGTTGAAGTTTCCGAACAGTCTTCAAGGGCAACCCCACGTAGAGTGCGTTGCAGTAATCTATTCGGGATGTAACAAGAGCGTGGACCACTGTGGCCAGATCAGGCTTCCCAAGGTACGGGTGCAACTGGTGCACAAGTTTTAATTGTGCAAAAGCTCTCCCGGCCACCACCGAGACCTAGGGTTCCAGGCTCAGCGATGAGTCCAGGATCACTCCCAAGCTGAACCTGCTCTTCAGGGGGAGTGTAACCTTCAACTCAGGCTGTAACCCTATGCCCTGTTCGGCCTTACGACTGACCAGGACCTCTGTCTTGTCTGGATTCAGTTTCACAAGGTCCGTAGACGACTCCAAGGTCATGAGCCCACTGGCATAACTGCATGGGGCGCCGTTACCTTCCTGCCGGAGCAGTACCTATTGATCTACTCACATTTGCATGTTTTCAAACTGCTAGGTTGGCAGAAGCTGGGGCTAACATCGGGAGCTTACCCCCACTCCCCGGAGCTTACCCCCACTCCCTTTCGGTCAGCAAGTTTAGCAATTTAGTGGTTTAACCCACTGCGTCACCAGAGACTTCTCAGAGCATTGAGCCATTGCAATTCAAGTAGTGTCAAACAGCATCAGTTGTGGAGTGTAGATGCATCTGTGGATTTCAGTTCTACTTAATGAGTTGCAAATGAACAGAGATTTCTTTTTTGCAATCTTCGAATTTCCTTTACTTTCAAGGATGAGCTGCCATCTCGTGGCAGATTTGCTGAACTTTCCTGACTGATAAATTCACAATTCTTCTGCTCTCTGATGTAACATTACTACAATGCACCAATTTAATGCATCCAAGTAGCCTGCTTTTGAGTGTCTTCTAACTTGTTCCAAGTCATTGAAAGACATCTCGCTTTCCCTTCCAGTTCCTCCCTGTCCACATTCCAACCGAGGAAGAGAAGCACGACCCGATCCTTTTTGCCAACCGAGTCCGTAACAAAATGTCCAGGTGAGAGTTCAAGATGGGTTTTGCTGCTGCAAGGTGCTATAAAACTGCACTATGTAACAAAATTTAAAGATTGTCTATTCCTGGTTTGAAAGTGTTATTTCATAGAATCATAGAATCAAGAGTTGGAAGAGACCTCATGGGCCATCCAGTCCAACCCCCTGCCAAGAAGCAGAAATATTGCATTCAAAGCACCCCTGACAGATGGCCATCCAGCCTCTGTTTAAAAGCTTCCAAAGAAGGAGCCTCCACCACACTCCGGGGCAGAGAGTTCCACTGCTGAACGGCTCTCACAGTCAGGAAGTTCTTCCTCATGTTCAGATGGAATCTCCTCTCTTGTAGTTTGAAGCCCTTGTTCCATTGCGTCCTAGTCTCCAGGGAAGCAGAAAACAAGCTTGCTCCCTCCTCCTCCCTGTGGCTTCCTCTCACATATTTATACATGGCTATCATATCTCCTCTCAGCCTTCTCTTCTGCAGGCTAAACATGCCCAGCTCCTTAAGCCGCTCCTCATAGGGCTTGTTCTCCAGACCTTGATCATTTTAGTCGCTCTCCTCTGGACACATTCCAGCTTGTCAATATCTCTCTTGAATTGTGGTGCCCAGAATTGGACGCAATATTCCAGGTGTGGTCTAACCAAAGCAGAATAGAGGGGTAGCATGACTTCCCTAATCTAATTTAATTGTACAGTTCTAATCTAATTGTATAGTGGTCTAATCCTGTTTAATTGTATAGTTCTTATTTTGAAAGTAGGTGTTATATTCCCGATACTTCGTTTTTGCGGACATCACAAACTAGTTTGAATTGGTTGAGGTTCTAGGAGAGTTCCATTGAAAAACTGTATCAATATGGTGCAGGATGTCCTGCAAAAATAATGTTTTTGCAGTTTAATAAACCTTTTCTGTGCTTTTATGATTGAACCAATTAGGAAATGACATTTATAACCCAGGAACAAACATTGAGTTACATTTGTAATGTACTTGAAATATATTAGACACAAACCAACATTCCCATGACATCTCTATATCAGAGGAAAACAATATATGGCCAGACAGACCTCTAATCTAGCATTTCTCAACCTGGGGGTTGGGACCCCTGGGGGGTCATGACGGGGAGTCAGAGGGGTCACCAATCAACATCAGGAAACACAGTATTTTCTGTTGTTCATGGGGGTTCCGTGTGGGAAGTTTGGCCCAATTCTATCATTGGTGGGGTTCAAAATGCTCTTTGATTGTTGGTGAACTATAAATCCCAGCAACTACAACTCCCAAATGACAAAATCAATCTCCCCCAACCCCACAATAGATCCATCATTGTTTGAGTCCACAGTGCTCTCTAGATGTAGGTGAACTACAACTCCCAAACTCAAGGTCAATGTCCTCCAAACCCTTCCAGTATTTTCTGTTGGTCATGGGAGTTCTGTGTGCCATGTTTGGTTCAGTTCCATCATTGGTGGAGTTCAGAATGCTCTTTGATCGTAAGTGAACTATAAATCCCAGTAACTACAACTCCCAAATGACAAAATCAATAACCCCCGCCCAACTCCATCAGTATTCAAATTTGGTCAGTAAATAAGAATACATCCTGCATATCAGATATTTACATTACAATTCATAAAAATAGCAAAATTACAGTTATGAAATAGCAATGAAAATAATTTAATGGTCGGGGGTCACCACAACATGAGGAACTGTATTAAGGGGTCGTGGCATTAGAAAGGTTGAGAAACACTGCTCTAATCTCTTGGCAACTCCTAGATCCATTAAGTTTACTCTGATTTGGATTAGCAGTTGAATATAGGCTCGACTGTCCTCCAATGTCATAGAGTGCATCTCACTTTAGAATGAACACACTTTGACCTCATTGTTCAATGCCGTGGAATCATGGGAGATGTAGTTTTACAAGTTCTTGACCTTCTTTTCCGAAGAGTGTTGTTGCCTCAGCAAATGACAACTCTGGGATTCCATAGTATTGAGATATGGCTACTTGTTTTTGGAAACTGTGAGAAAACAAGCCTGCCTTTTTTAAAAGAACTAGTAGGATCTTTCTCTGTATGTCTTTGAAACCACAGTGCTTTGGGTGTCCCTGTTACGGACCATACATACGAAGACTGCAGGCTCATGATATCTGCAGGGCAACTGACTTTGCCCATGGAAGCTGGCTTGGTGGAGTTCACGAAAATCAGCAAGAAGCTGAAGTAAGTCATTTTCTTGCCCAGAAAGGAGGTAAATTGTCTGAGTGGGATTGTCTTCCAAGATCGGTGTCCTGGTGGTGGGTCCATAGGTGACTGTGGAGCCCTTTTCTTGACCTGCATGTTCTCCCGCAGTGAGGGCATTGGTTTCCAGAAGGAAGGCGGTCCCAGTCGGGGTTGACTTGATGCGCCTTCCTCTTGGCACATTTCTCTCTTTCGCCCTCCATTCGTGCCTCTTCAAATTCTACAGCACTGCTGGTCACAGCTGACCTCAGCTGGAGCACTCAAGGGCCAGGGCTTCCCAGTTCTCAGTGTCTATGCCAGAGTTTTTAAGGTTGGCTTTGAGCCCATCTTTAAATCTCTTTTCCTGTCCTCCAACATTCCGTTTTCCATTCTTGAGTTCGGAATAGAGCAACTGCTTTGGCAGATGGTGGTCGGGCATCCGGACAACGTGGCCGGTCCAGCGGAGTTGATGGCAGAGGATCATCGCTTCAATGCTGGTGGTCTTTGCTTCTTCCAGCATGCTGACATTTGTCAGCCTGTCTTCCCAAGAAATTTGCAGGATTTTCCCGGAGGCAGCACTGATGGAATCATTCCAGGAGTTGCATGTGACGTCTGTAGACAATCCACATCTCGCAGGCATATAGCAGGGTTGGGAGAACAATAGGCAAGGTGGTATATCCAATTATAGATAAGAAGTCAACAATCATGATTCTCCCTTCCCTGTATTCACATTACCAAAGACTTTTGAAATGGATCCACACAAACATGCATGATTAAAACTAGGTTCTTGTGGGTTTTTTCGGGCTATAGGGCCATGTTCTAGAGGCATTTCTCCTGACGGTTCGCCTGCATCTATGGCAAGCATCCTCAGAGGTAGTGAGGTCTGTTGGAATTAGGACAATGGGTTTATATATCTGTGGAATGGCTGGGGTGGGGCAAAGAGCTCTCTGCTGGAGCTAGGTGTGAATGTTTCAGCTGACCACCTTCATTAGCATTTGAAGGCCTGGCTGAGCCTGGGAAAATTCTGTTGAGAGGTGTTAAGATGTGCCTGGTTGTTTCCTCTCTGCTGTTTTGCTGTTGTAATTTTAGAGTTTTTTAATACTGGTAGCCAGATTTTGTTCATTTCCATGGTCTCTTCTTTTCTGTTGAAAATGTCCACAGATATATAAACCCATTGTCCTATTTCCAACAGACCTCACTACCTCTGAGGATGCTTGCCATAGATGCAGGCGAAACGTCAGGAGAAATGCCTCTAGAACATAGGCCCGAAAAACCCACAAGAACCTAACTTTCAACATTATTAAAATGAGAAAGAGAAGCCAAGGGGATGTGTGGCTGTGAATTGCAATAGCCTGTGGGATGCTTGCCATAGATGCAGGCGAAACGTCAGGAGAAATGCCTCTAGAACATGGCCCTATAGCCTGAAAAAACCCACAAGAACCTAGTGATTCCAGCCATGAAAGCCTTCGACAATTCACGATTAAAACATTTATGCTAAATGTTATGTGTGTTGTTAATGTTATTGCCTTGTTTTTGAGTTATTTTGCTGTATTATTGTTGTTGTTTTTACTGCTGTATTTGGGCTCGGCTTCTTGTAAGCCGCACTGAGTCCTTCGGGAGATGGTAGTTGGGTACAAATAAAGATTATTATTATTATTATTATTATTATTATTATTATTATTATTATTATTATATGTATGGCAAGGATTTGAAGTAGCTGTGTGTCAAAAGGAGCACAGGGGACCTTCATCCTCAAGTTGTCCTTAGCCTCAAATTAATTCACTTCAAATGCTTTGCACTTCTTAAATTATAGCTATGGCTCTTTTCTTTTATGATCTGCAACCAAAACTAACTGAATCATTCTTTCCTCCTCTTTTCAAAGTCTGAAATGGGACAATATCCGAGAGCAGCTGAGTCAGTTTGCAGCCATCGCCAATGCCTCCAAAGGCGGCCGGATTGGAATCGAGGAGTTTGCCAACTACTTGAAGCTTCCTGTCTCTGAGGTCCTGGGGGAGCTGTTTGCCCTTTTCGACAGAGTGAGTGCGCTCTTTTCTCAGCTTTGAAATGAAAGCACAGTTGTGATGGTTTCCAGAAGCAAAGCTTGTGACTCGCATCACATGAAGCAAAAAGACAAGCGTTCCCACTTGACAAAAAGGGAGATTGTATATTGGTGAAGGAGGAAAGAAAGGGAGGGCGAGGAATGGCAAGCAAGGGAGGCAAAACAAATGGGGGTATGGCGTAGCATGCCTGCTTGGGTCTGCTCCAAAAAGGCTGTGTGACTTTAAAGCCGCAGAAGGAAGTTTCCATCTTGGCTTGCCAGCAGCCAAGAGGGTGGGACTCATCCTGCCCCCACAATAGATTCCAGCTGTGTCGGATGACGTGTCCGGGCACAGTGGTTTCTGATTGCTTTTGGCAGCTCCGTTGTTTTTGCAGAACACACCCAGACGCTCTGCTCTTTTCAGACGCTCTCAGAGACAGTGGAAGCCGTTCTTTCGTTCGAGTGAGTCTCTGTAAGCCTTCACCATGTTCCTTGCTCAGGCTCTGATGGACGCTGCCAGTGGCGGTAAAGCTGGCTCTGGTTCTGGCTCTGGTTCGAGTGGGAGCCGTGCCCTTGCCGCTGCTGGGGGAGCCCTCCTGAAAAGCCTTGGAGGGGGTGGTGGAGGCGGTGGGGGTGCAGGCCTCCTGAAAAGCAGTGGAGATAAAGGTGGAGGAGCTGGCAATGCCCTGATGAAAGGCCTCGGGGGTCTTCTGGCAGGAGGAGGAGGAGGCGGTGGTGGCGGTGGGAAAGCAGGCAACTTCATGGGGCTCATTGGAGGCCTGGTGAACATCATCAGTGAGGCTGCAGCTCAGTACACCCCCGAGCCTCCCCCACCGGCCCGCAGCCATTTTGCCAACGTGGAGGCCAATGAGAGCGAGGAGATGCGCCAATTCCGACGCCTCTTCTCCCAGCTGGCTGGCGACGACATGGCAGTGTGTCCCACCGAGCTGATGGGCATCCTGAACAAGGTGTTGGCGCGCCACCAAGACCTGAAGTCGCAGGGCTTCAGCCTGGACACTTGCCGGAGCATGGTGTCCGTCATGGACAGCGACACCACGGGCAAGCTGGATTTCTACCAGTTCCGTTACTTGTGGAACAACATCAAGAAGTGGCAAGCGGTCTACAAACGGTACGCCTCGCCGAACTCGGGGACCATAGAAATGGCACGGCTGCCCGAGGCCTTCAAGGCTGCAGGCTTCAACATGCACGAGCAACTCTACGCCTTGATGATCCGCCGGTACGCCAGCGAGGACGGCACAATGGATTTCAACAACTTCATTAGCTGCTTGGTACGCCTGGATGGCATGTTCCGCGCCTTCAAAGCCCTGGATCGAGATGGAGATGGAAAAGTCCAAATGAACCTCCAAGACTGGCTCCAACTAACCATGTATTCCTGAACTGAACAGGAAGAAAATTAGAAGGCATTGGTGCTTGTTTTGCTTTGAGGGTTGTTGCAAGTAATCTCCTTTGGGCTCCTTTCAAGGAACAAGGCCAACTCTTTGGCCTTTGCTATATTTTTAGATTGCTTTGTTGGGGAGTCAGGCAAACTAAGGGAGTTGTACAACTCTTCTAGCACTGCATAATATTTCTTCTAATTAGATTATTGCTGCAGCTTGAAATGCCTGCTTTGGAAAATGAAGACAGGGTGGAGTCAGTGTGCATATTGTCTATTTACAGTTTGTTATCATTTCAAAAACAAGTTTATGCTTTTGTACACATGTCTGGGCTGTGCAGATATGTACGGCTAAGAAGAAATATATTAGAATTGTCAATATTATACTGAAGTTTGTAGGGAAAGGGGAGGGGTAAGTGCAACCCAAGGAAATCATGCCTGAATCTTCCTGAATTATCTACCCCTTCCCAAGAATGAATTGCCTTTCTTGGATGCCAATGAGTATGACAATTCTATCTTTTTAGTAAATTGCAGGATTATGATTTGCAGGTATCATACTGTTTAACATTAAATAGATCCATTATTTCAAACCAGAACTGGATTTGTTGTTTATTTTGACATTTTTGATGGCTTGTCAGAAGTCTCTGTCTAGGGATGCAGTTTTTCACTAAGTTTCTTCTAGAATGAAGCAACAAGTAATTTTAACAGTAGGTCCTTCCTTTTGCAATAAACTCTTTTGCAACTACCATTTTCAAAGCTGATTCATAATTTTGAATTAAGGTAAATGTAAAGGTTTCACCTGACATTGAGTCTAGTTGTATCCAACTCTGAGGGTGGTGCTCATCTCTATTTCTAAGCTGAAGAGCCGGCTTTGTCCATAGACACCTCCAAGGTCATGTGGCCAGCATGACTGCATGGAGTGCCATTACCTTCCCACTGGAGTGGTACCTATTGATCTACTCACATTTGCATGTTTTCAAACTGCTAGGTTGGCAGAAGCTGGGGCTAACAGTGGGAGCTCACCTGGCTCCCTGCATTTCCAAGCTGAAGAGCCGGCGTTGTCCATAGACACCTCCAAGGTCATGTGGCCAGCATGACTGCATGGCGTGCCATTACCTTCCCGCAGAAGTGGTACCTGTTGATCTGCTCACATTTGCATGTTTTCAAACTGCTAGGTTGTCAGAAGCTGAGCCTAACAGCGGGAACTCACCCCACTTCCCAAATTCAAACTGCCAACCTTTCAGTCAGCAAGTTCAGGAGTTCAGCGGTTCAACCTGCTGCACCACCAAGGGGCCAATTAATTACTTATGCACAAAATTCAGATGTAGTTATTTGCATGGAAAATAGTGCAACCGTAGTGTAAGAAACAGCATTTTCCATGCAGAAATAACTTTGTAGGTAGAAATATCATTTCCTGTAGGAATAAAATCCGGTGTTCTGCAAATGAAAAGGGGCTATTTTTATTTTTGCAGAATCCATTTTGAAGAATCCCTTCAGCATTCATATCGTCAGTGTTTCCAAACACTTCTTTTTCAGCTATTTTCTGAATATCTTTGAATATTTTTTTCTAGGCCTGTTTGATCAAGAAAAAAATTGTTTCTAAAATCAATTTGTAATTGGGGTGTTTTTTTGTTTCAATATTTAAAATAATTACAAAACTTTCCAAAAAAAAGTTTCGGTATTTACGAAATTTCGTAAATATTTACAAAACATTTTGTAAAGATGGCACCCTTTTTTTTTCAATATTTTTTAAATATTTTTTAAATTTAATTATTAATTTAGTAGATAGGGAGGAGAAATTATTATTGAGGGAAGGCAGGCACTCACTCTGGCGGGCCCTCTCGCTCGCCGCTCGCCCTCTCACTCGCCCTCTCGCTCGCCGCTCGCCCTCTCGCTCGCCCTCTCGCTCGCCCTCTCTCGCTCGCCCTCTCGCCCTCTCGCTAGGATGGGTTCCTTCCAGGAGGGGCTCTTTTTCCCAGGCTGCCAAACTACAACTCCCAGGATGCTACAGCATTGAGCCAATGTGGTGCCAAACCTCATCCAGGCTGCAGTGTAGATGGCTGCAGGATGGAGGGGTTTCCTGCCTCGAATTGAGAGAGAGAGAGAGAGAGAGAGAGAGAAGAGGAAGCAAGTGAGACGTTTCCAAGGCTCTGCTGATCTGCTTCTGCCATGGCTGAGAAAGAAGGGCACAATGGGGGCTGCCTTTCCAACCAGGAGGGAAAGAAAGGGGAGCCTTCTTTGGAAGAGAGCTCAGAACCCCCCTGCGAAAGGTGAGAGAGAGAGAAAGAAGAGAAAAGGAAAGAAAGAGAAGGAGACCTCCCTCTCGCCCTCTCGCTCGCCCTCTCGCTCGCCCTCTCGCTCGCCCTCTCTCTCGCTCGCCGCTCGCCCTCTCGCTCGCCCTCTCGCTCGCCCTCTCGCTCGCTTGCTCAGCCGGCGCGGAGAGAGGAGAGCTCCCAGCAAGCCAGGCGGCCATCTTACGTATTTCCGAAATGGACGGAAATACAAAATTTTTTGGCGCCTGCCGTTTCGATATTTAAAAACACTTCCAGGTTTAAAAATAAGTTTTGTAATCGTTTTGTAATTCAAAAATTAACGAATTTTTTAACAAATTACGAATTAACGAATGAAACCGCACAGCCCTATTTTTTTCCATTCCTGGCCCACTGCAGCTGCCTTCTCCCAATCTAGTGTAATTTTTGTCCCTTTACGTGGGACAAAAGTTAGCTGTAATTTTTTTTCACATGAAACAAATAGTAAACAGGAAGTAACTGCATCCTATGCAGTCATGCAGGCCACATGATCTTGGAGGTGTCTAGGGACAACGTCAGCTCTTCAGCTTAGAAATGGAGATGAGCATCACCCCCAAGAGTCAGACACGACTAGACTTAATGTCAGGGGAAACCTTTACCTGTATGCAGTGAACAACTTTTTATTTTGCGTGACCGCATCTCTGTACACCAACCCACACAATCTCTCCGTTCATCTGGAGAGGCCTTGCTCGCGATCCCACCTGCATCGCAGGCGCGATTGGTGGGGATGAGAGAGAGGGCCTTTTCAGTGGTGGCCCCCCAACTCTGGAACTCACTTCCTAAGGACATCAGGCAGGCCCCAACTCTGGCAGTCTTTAGGAGGAGCTTGAAGACGTGGTTGTTCCAGTGTGCCTTCCCAGAATAATGATCCCATAGCACTTTGTCCTCCAAAGCACTTTACATTTTTAGGTCTGCTTGTATGTGTTCCATAAACGCCCCATCACTTTTTCGCCCATGTTCCAGCATTATTTTCAATTTTAATTTTACATTTGGCATTCCCATAGTTTTTCATCGTGTGGTCTTATTGTTAATGTTGCATTATTGTATTGTCCATGCTTTATTTTAATTGCTTGTATTGTTGTTATTATTGCTTGTATTGTTGTATTTGGGCTCGACCTCATGTAAGCCGCACCGAGTCCCTTGGGGAGATGGTAGCTGGGTACAATTAAAGTGTTGTTGTTATTATTATTATTATTATTATTATTATTATAAAAAGAATTGCACACTGTTGGTAACGAAACCACGAAACACAAAATAAACCCCAAGCAAACAGAAATGGTAAAGAAAAATAAGAAA